GCGTTTTGAAGGCGGGGAGCGCGGCGCGGCGCAGAGCAGCCCGATCCCGGAGCTGCGGGCGGGAGGCTGCTGTGCGCCGGCTGTGCTGACGGCGGGGCCAGGTGTGCGCGCAGGGAGATGCTGCGCCGGGCGGTGGGGAGGGGGATCGCAGCATCGGCCCGATGGGTTCCTCTGTTTTGGAATGAAATAACCGCCTCCTCGTCCCCATGCGCACCGCAGCGGGCAGCAGGGCGGCAGGCAGCCGCGCGCTCGGCACTTCTGGCACAGCGCGGCACCCATCGTCACCACTCAAAAAAAAAAAAAAAAGGCAAATCCGCAGTGATGTGGCAAAACCGGGAGGCGAAGCTGCCCGACCTCCCGCATTCGGACACGGACACGTCACCTCCCGTGGGCCGGAACCGTGTCAGGACGCGGTGGCACAGCCTGGCGCTGGGGCGGCCCGAGGTGACGTCTCGTGGAATCCCGGACCCGAAAAGTGCCGAGGTCTCACGTCACATGGCTCCCCACCAGACGGGTGGGAGGAGGGAGAAGGAACCATAGCTCCACCACAGGCTTTATTGAGCAAGAAGGAATTTCAACAGCAAACCTCCCCGCACGCAGCCCCGCCTGCCTCGTGGCTCTGCCCCTGCTCTGCAAACAGCCGCTGGCACGCTGAACCCTCAACCCACACTGCGAGCAGCGCCGGGATGCAGGGCAGCCTCCAGTCCTGCTCTCCTAGGACTCTGCCCTGCTCCCCATCACACCACCTCACTGTCAGAGGAAGACAATTCCTATCAAAAACCTCTCACAGTAACATTTTTGACGAGGAGGGCCTCAGGGCAGCCTGGGATCTTCTGACAGCAGCTCCAGCAGGGTTAACATCCAGACAGCAGATCCAGGCTGAGCACCCGGCCCTGCGCACAGCAGCAGGGCACCCCGACCCCTGCACGCCATGAATTCGCTGTGTCTGCATTCATTCCCAACCCAGCAAAACCCAGCTGCAAAAGCATGACCAGGACTTGGCCACCTTTCCACCCGCTGACAAACAGCAGAAGAGGTCACATTTTGTCAGGGCACGGGGAGGTCTCTCCCAACAGGGGGCTGCCAGATCTTGACAGGAGAGAACAGCACCAGGTCGGCACCAGCAGAGCCACACTGCACTCGTGTGGCAGCAGGAGACGGAGCAGTGCAGGGAACAGCTGCCAACGGGGGATCCCCCATTCCCCCCCTCCTCCCAGCATGAGCTCTCACACACGGACAGCCGGAGGGGGGAAGATGCCAATTTCCTCCCGCAGGGACTCCACGCTCTGCTCCCAGCGCTGCTCATAATAGACATTGAGGACACAGCTGGCGTTGCGCCCGCTCCGGACCGCCCATGGAACCAGCTCAGTGGCCAGGACCTGCAGCTTTCTGCAACAAAGGGCACAGAAGACAATGGTTTTCATTTCCACGTTTGGTTTTCTATTTCCTCTTCCAAGTCCCTGTTCCGAGCAGATGCAAATCCTACGTCCCTGCACCCTTCAGCTCTCCTGCTTATCTCACAGGGGAAACTGAGGCATGGGACGGGACTCTGTGTGGGAAGGTTACAGCCAGCAGCAAACCCAGGATCAGAACTCAGGTTAACATGGACCCTCATCAGACAGCATCACTGCTTACCGTGCGTTGAGACGAACAGGGCCAAACGCTGCTCCCAGCACACACATGGGCAGCCCCGTCTGGACGGCTTCAAACCATTTCACCACGACTTCACCTGGGAGGAAGCAGAGCGCTGTGAGCAGGCACAGGGCACGATCCCACACTGGGAAGGGAACCCTGCTCTGCCCCCAGGGACAGCCCGGCCGCCACCCCCAGGAGCAGCACTGCTTGTCACTGCCTCACAAGCTTGGGCATGGCCCAGGGAGGCTGGGCTCCTGGAGATCTTTAGCGATGCAATTGCTAAATGAGGATTTTCCCATGTATCTTTCCCTATCTCCCAGCATGGGAAAGCCCATTTTCATCCACTGTCACATCTCAGCCAGAAGCTTCCAAGGGACCAGAAATGCTGGTTCCTGCTGGCTCATCAGCAAGGCTCAGCTTGTGACTGAGTCAGACACAAAATGAGGGGAAAGGACATGGGGATGCATGGATAAGGAACCAGGAAACCCCTAAGCTTGCGCTCTGATCTTGCAAAATACCACATCATGGTAAACCCAGCAGGCACTGAACACCCACAGATGATGGATGACAGGACAGGGATTGTGGCCAACCTCCCTGTGCACCTCTGTGGGCTGGGGATCAGGGATTCCGATGGGTCAAAAGCCATCACTGGGGTCGATGGGCAGCATGGAACATGGCAGCTCACCCAGCATGTTGGTGGGCATGCCCAGCAGGGTGTGCATCAGGTCGTGCACTTCCCGGTACCGCTGGATCACGTACGCCAGCTCTTCATCATCCACAAACTTGGCTGGCATGCGGGTGTCTGGAGAAACCTTCTGCAAGGGCAAAGAGGTGCAGGTCAGTCAGAACTCGAAGCCTCTCATTTCAATCTTTAACACACAGCAATGCAGAGCTCCCCATCAGTGTATCTCTCAGCCCCTAATGCTGTAAGTATCATTTACACAGATAAAACACACAGCACTGAGGATGCATCACCCACACCCAGCATCACATCCCGACCTCCCAACTCCCACCAATTCCCTTCATCTCCTCCAGGTGCTCTATGGGCTTCTCCACAGCCACAGCCTGTCTCTAAATCTCATCTGTGCTCCTGGCACAGAGACAAGTACAGTGAGATCCCACACTCACATTGTCCTCCAAGAAGCGGACGTATTCACGGCCCAGCGTGCCAGCAGGCAGCCCCCGCAGCCGGGCCATGTCCAGCGTGGAGAGGCGGATGCGAGGCCGCTCCCTGAAACAGAAAGCACTGAGCATCGTGTGGGACCCACACACTGGGGGCCCTGGGCAGATGAAGACTTGGAAACCCCTCCCTGCGCAGCCCCCCAAGTGCTCCCACAAGGATGCGTTCTTTAAGGAGTCCACCTGAAGCCCTGGCAATGAGAACTGCAACCTCTGCCTACTCCAGCAGCTCTGGAGGAGAAGTGCAGTGCTTGCAGTGAGCCTGGCTAGCAGTCAGGCCCAGAGAGTGGATCTCAGTGCCCCTGTGAAACAGACAGACTTCAAAGCAACAGCCTGAGAGAGGGTAAGGTGTTTGTTCTAAATGCAGGTTTTGCTTCTTTCCTGCTCAGGCTTTCATTGGCAGCCATGTGGCGGCCAAGCACAGAAAGGTCTCCTGCCCAGGCTGGTGGCAAACAGGCACCATGTAGCACTGGAATGGAACAAAAGTCCTTTCATTTCTGCACAGGACAAATTTTCCTTCTGATAAAAGCCTGAGTGGATCCAGGAGCTGCCCAGATGCCAGGGAGATAAGTGGGATGAGCACCACCTCTACCCTGACTGCAGCAAATGCTTCCTTGTATCCCTCATCAGCTGAAGGGACTGGAAAAAAAAGAGGAAGGACAGTGAGATCGTGGTTAATCAGAGCCTTATTGAGTCCTTCCTGGTCCTCAGACTTGTGCCCAATGAGTCCCCACAGACACAGAAGCAAAAGCCATCAAGTCTTATCTCACAGCTTAGGAAGATGCCGAGGGTGGTGGAATGAAAATGTGGAGGTGCCTATGGAGAAGACAAAGCAGTGGGGGTGGAGTCCCCAGTGGAGGAAATGCTGCAGAGGACAAAACAGAGAAAACACACTGCATCCACACAAAGAGAGACAGAACCTGCCAGGGCAGCAGAGCAGAACAGACAGCGATGTTGAAACAGGGCCCAGGGGCTCCGTGCTGCTGCTCCTGGATCTGCTGCAGGGCTTTGCTGAGCACTAAGTATGCAGCAAAATCCACAGCCAGGAGGCTCAGAGCTGACAGATGCCCGAGCTCCTCAAATGGCAGCAGTGTGGGGCTCTCCTTTACAGGGCCCAGGGAAGGCGCCCGGACCCATGGGGCAGAGGGATGGGGTCTGACAGAGGTGGAGGGCCAGGGCCGGGTGTGGGGGACGCACTGGAGGATGCGGTAACCTTCAGGGTCATTCCTCATCCTGTCTCGCAGCTTGGGCAGGGCAAGGCAGCCCGTGGTCTCACCGAGGACTGCCACCATGTCTGAAAGAGAGACCGCACAGTGACACACCAACAGCACAGTCCTGCACACGTTTTGCATTTGCACCACCTGGACACATTTGGTTGACAGGGGAGGGAAGGGGGCACCGAGCGCTGCAGGCAGGCACAGATCTGCTTGCAGGAGCTCATGGAATCATTCAGGTTGGAAAAGCCCTCTCAAGTCCAACCCCAGCCCACCCCCATGGCCACCGACACGTCCCTCAGTGCCACATCTCCACAGGTCTGGAACACTTCCATGGATGGTGACCCCAGCACTCCCTTGGCAGCTGCGTCAGTGCAGCACCGCTCCTTGTGAGAAGGAATGTTCCCCAATACCCAACCTGAACCCCCAGCACTATGTGGGGCCAACACCTCTCGTCCTATTGCTGTTCCCCAGGAGCAGAGGCCGACCCACCTCACCACAACTCCTTTCAGGGATTGCAGGGAGCGATGAGGTCTCCTCTGAGCCTCCTCTGCTCCGCACTCAGCCGTCCCGGCTCCCCGAGCCCCGCTCCGTGCCCCATCCCCACGCACCGTGTCTGTAGGGGTCCCACAGAGCCGCGCACGCCGAGCCGGCCGCCAGCAGCGCTTTCTGCAGCGGGCTGGTCGGGATGTGCCCGGGGTACAGCGGGACGCGCCCCGCCGGCTGTTCTTCCCCCTCCTCATCCTCCTGCTCCTCAGCGCGGGGCACGGCGCGGCCCAACCCGGCTCTGCCTGCGGGGAGCGGCGGTAGCAGAGCTCAGAGTCACGGCACCCTCGGGACGAGCCGCACCGCAGGCGCGGGGTTCCCTTACCCGGAGCACCGCGCACCGCCCGCAGCAGCGCGGCCCGCACCGCCGCCCCCCGCAGCATGGCGCAGCCCCGGAAGCGGCGGGGCGGGGCGGGGCGGGGCGGGATGGCGGCGGTTCCCGCGGGGCTGTTCGCGGTGTACAAACCGCCGGGAGTGGCGTGGAACCGCGTGCGGGATGCGGTGGAGACGCGGCTGCTGCGCGGTGAGCGGAGCTCCGGGACCCCCTCGTAAATACACGCACGCGGCTCCGTCTCTGATTATCCTCCCGTTTCTTGCAGAGCTCAACGCGGCCCCAGCGCGGCCCCCGCGGAGCCGCATCCGCTTCCTGCCCGCTGCGAGCGCGGGGCCGCCGGCGTTGGAGGCCGTGCGGGTGCCGGTGTTGGCCGAGCACCGCCTGGGTGAGCGCCGGGAGCGGCGGGGGGGAGGGGAAGGGTCGGTATGGGGAGGGCCGGGAGGGTCCCGCGCTGACCGCCGTCTCTTTCCGCAGTTCGAGGGCCCCGCTTCACGCAGCTGAAGATCGGCGCCGGGCACCGGCTGGACGTGAAGGCGTCGGGGGTGTTCGGTGCGAGCGGGGCGCGGCGCGGTCGGGTGTTGGGGGACATCGAGGCGGCTCTGCCGTGCCGTCCGCACGCTGCTCCCACCGCCGCGGTGCTGCGGGATGGGCGGCGGGGCCGGCGGCTCCGGCTGGGGAGCGGCACGCGTGGAACGGGCGGCGCGGCTCTAAGCGTGCCTCCTGTGTTGCAGTGCTCGGTGTTGGGCACGGGAACAAGCTCCTCAGCCACCTGTACGACTGCCACCTGAGCAAGGTAGGTGCTGCGCAGTGCCACGGGCACCCAGGGATGGGCTCTGAGTCTCAGTGCTGCCCCGGAGGTGTTCCAGACCCGTGGGATGCGGCACTGAGGGAGGTGTTGGTGGGATGGGCTGATGGCTGGATGTGATGCTGCTCAGTGGCTCTGAAGCTTTGATGGATGACACTCTCTGCTTTTCTTGGAGGTTTACACGGTCAGGGGGCAGTTTGGTAAAGCTACCGTGGACTTCTCAGACACTGGGAAGCTGATAGAGAAGACAACGTTTGGTAAGAAACTGAGTCAATGTGTTTAAGGAAAAAAAAGCACCTGAACAGAACACAAAACAAAGAGCACTCCTGCTGAATAGCAAGGCACTTGGCCAGGTAGAATGCACAGCAGTAGAAGGTAATGCTCCAAACGCTTCCTTGGCTGCTCTTTGTGCACGTAGCCCACATGCAGTCAAGGTACTTTTGTCCACCTGTGCTGAGTGCAGCACACACAAACCAGGCTGAGCCTTCATCCCAGCAGCTGCTGCTGGCATGGGTGGGAGCCAGGTGTGCTTGTACCACATCTAGAGGTAGTGGTGAGAAGCCTTTGTGGAATTAAATCCTTCAGCCACTTCTAGGAGAAACTGGAGCCAACATCTTGAAATCAATTAAGACAAAATGACCCTTTCTTTGTAGTGCAGCACAGTGCTGCTCATTTACATGGCATGATGAGCAGAGCTTACTCCACACTGAGGCTCCTGTGAACCATTTGGATGCGACCTCTAACACGGATGGCACCACTCAGGCTGCTGTCCTTCCAGCTTCCAGATGGATAATTGAGACTTTGTTTCTACCTTGATATTTGCAGATCATATCACGAGGGAGAAGCTGGAACGGATTCTCGCCATCATCCAAGGAACAAATCACAAGGCCTTGCTGATGTACGTACGTAAAAAGCATGGCTGTGTTTGCCGTGACAGCTTGTAAAGGTTTGAGCGCTAGATCAGAGCAGACAGAAGTCACAGAGTGCTCTGCATGCTGGTGAGGGACCACTGTTAAGTGTCCTTTTTTGTACTCTGACATCTCCAGCTCCATAGGAACTGCTGGCTGCAGTAAGACCTGCACTGATACCTTACAGATGTGGCCAAGCACCTCCCTCCCAAACCTCTACAAACAGTGCAGCATTAAGATGTGTGCAGGAGCTTCATGCACGGGCAGTTCTGAGAATAACAAGTGCAGCTCTGCTTTAGTTGGGACTGTATCTATTTTGAATGCCATTGAAGAGAAGCACTCAGTGTCTGCTCTGCTCCTTTTCTCCTTTTCCAGGCATTCTAACATCGATATGAAAACACAGGAGGCCTATGAGCTGGCTGTGAAGGGGCTGATTCGCCCCATGGGAAAAAGCTCCCCAATAATCACTGCAATCCGGTGTCTCCAGTTTGCACTCCCTGAATTCCAGCTAGGTAGGACTGGTGCAGAATGGACTGGGGGAGGTCTGGTGTGAATGTGTATATAAGTTGGTGAAATTCACTTTCCTGTTAGTGACCTCATGCACCATGAATTGGCGGGAGCTTGGTACCAACCAGTAATCCCTGCAGTGTCATGAGCTGTAGCTTCCAAGCTCAGCACATCAGCACATCAGCACATCAGCACAGCATCCCTTTGCTGGATGATCTCTGTAGTGCAAAGCCTTTTTTTTTTCCCTTTTTCTGAGAGCAATTGTCTGAAACCTTTACAGAACTGAAGATGCTGCAGCAAATCAAACCAGCTGCACACCTCCCTCATTTTGCTTTCCCTGCTACTTGCAGATCTTAGACTGAGGCAAGAAACTTTGCAAAGTGAATGCCTATGGGGCAAAATTCTTCCTTGTGCCGATATTTAAATGCAGTGCAGCTCAGGGGGCATGGGAGTGTGTTTAAACATGGTTTGCTTTTCTGCAGTCTGTCTTCTATTGCTCACAAATAATTCATCACAAAGGTGGTAAGGTGAATCTTATCCACTTTAAAATATCTAAATCTCTCTGTCATTCTGCTGCATATACAGATTTGTTCTCTAAAGCTTTAGTTTCTGGGGGGGCCAGGACAGCCTGCAGTATTCCAGAAATGCACAATCCACCTGTGCTTTATCATAGCAATCTATTCTGCTGAACTGTTTCCTTCAGCATAAGCGTGATGGATGTCTGCACTACAGACAAGGTGTGAATTTGTCCCATTGCTTTGCCCGTTCTGAAGGAATCTCTCTGACCTTCCAGAAATTCACTGCTTGCACGAGACCCAGCAATACCTCCGCAAAGTAGTCCATGAGATCGGGCTGGAGCTGAAATCATCTGCTGTGTGCACACAAGTGCGAAGAACACGGGACGGTGTCTTCACACTGGATGATGCCCTCCTGAGAACGCAGTGGAACCTGCAGAGCATACAGAATGCAATTCTGAACTGCCAGCTCAGAGTGAAAACCGAGTTAGAGAAAACAATGAGCCATTGGGACGGAAGTGTTCTTCAGGAGATGGATGCTGAGGCTGCCCACGCTGCTGACAGCTGAGTACGTGCTCCAGAGGGAACATCCACATCCCCTCTGCAACACAGCAACAGAGCTACGTGCTGACAGGATGATGGACAGCAGAAGGAAAGAGGTTAATTGCAGTTCACTTCCACTATTTCTTTGAGATGACTTTAATCAGAGAGGCATTTTTCCGTTGACAGGCTGTATAATTTTAAAGCATTGTAAACAGTTCATTAACAGGAGTTAGCTGTGCCAAAATCCCTGTTGGCTTTGGGATCATTAGGTTGCTATGGGATACAGAAACCTCTTCCCAAATTGTTCAGCAGCAGGAAACACAGGCACCTTCTTACAGAGCTGTGTTCTCTTGATTGCACGATCTGCTTGCTCCTCGCAACCAGCAGCACAACTCCACTGCTGCACAGGTTTTTATTTTCCCCACGTTCCCCTAGCAAAAGTAGTGCCTTTGCTTTAGTCCCACTTTTAGAGCCAGAAATGAGACTAAAAGAGAGCTGCAAGGGAGGAAAGGCAGCTTACCTAAAGTCCAGCAGGGAAATGGCTGTCAGTGTGCAGTGCAGAAAGAGGGACTGACACAAAGATGCTAACAATATAAGGAATAAAACTGAAATTGACACGAAGGGAAAGAGGCTGTTTTTGAGTTCAGCACTACAGACAAGCACAGTGACCCTTTAATTAAGAAAGAAAAAACTTTGCTTTTGCTGATGAACCAGGGGTGCTCAGGGGCTGTGGTGTCCTGCGCTTTGGCAGCTGCCTGCAGGCAGAGGTGCTGCCTCTCCGTGGGGGTTTCAGTTCTGTAATTCCACTTGTTACCTGTGAGATCATTATATGTGGATTAGACTTAACAGAAATAAGCTTTCTAAATTTAAATTAAGAACGGTGCTGTTACAACATGCAATATTTTCCTGCTATCTGCCCAGCCAGAGACTTGCTTACTTCTAGATATTTACATACTCTAGAAAAGCAACAGAAATTATTGGTTCTATTCTTCTGGATTTGGGCAAAGACAAGCATAGTTTATCTTCCAGATTGCCCTTAAAGTACAAGGAGCAACTCTGGGAGGAGCAGGGATGAAGTACCTCAGTAGCAGAGCTCAGTCCCTGATGTTTTTAACGCAGAGCCTGGAACCCTTCCATTTTGTCCTGGGTCTCCCTGCTCTGCAGACAGCAGCACGCAGCACTGCTCTGTGCCCACTGCAGAGCCTCACCAGGGGCAGTTTGCTGTTGGCTGGCTGGTTTGCGTGCATCCATCCTTTGTGGACAGCGGTCTGAGATGAGGACATCATCCCCAACAGCTCCCTTGTGCTAACTGAAGCAAAACCCAGCACTGGTTAAGCAGTGTCAGTGTGACTGCGTTGATCCCAGTGCTTCTACAAGGAGGGGGTGGGGGGAAGGAAACACGGACCTCTCAGTCCTTCAATAACCTTCCATAACTTGGGCAGCGGGCTGTGCTTCATGCCACGTGCCTTACACCTCACACAAAGTGCTGGCATTGATGTATGCACTTCCCAATGAAAAAAAACATTTCCCAACGCCTTTTTGCTGTGCTCTCAGCAGCAGCTTTTCTGACCACTTGTCTGATATCCAGGCACTGTGAAGAAAGCTTAATTTCTTTCAAATTTAGAAATACAAAGAACAGACGGCAAATATAGGCCTAACTGAAAGCAAGGGGGGAAAATTGCTTGGTAGGAAGGTCTGGGAAGTAGAAATGCACAGGACATTGAGCTTGAGCGAAGCAGGAACAACATTTGTGGTCAGAGCACTTCATCAGTTGGCACAAAGCAGCCAAACTTGGGTTGTGCAGTCACCCTCAGTCCTAAGAGCAGACGCTGAAACATTCCTGCTCTCAACACAACCCTGTGCTTAGGACACTGCTCACTTTCACTGTACTGACTCTGCATTTACAATTGAGTAAACGTAATTCTGCAGCTCTCATTCCCAGCAGCAGTGCTGCCACACTGTCCCCAGTAAGTCCTCAGAAAACACTGAACAGCACATCTTAATGTTGTCTCAGAATAGAATATAGTTGAAGAATTTGTTCCCAAGTTCATTTCATGAGTTACACGCTCTCAAAGTGAATTACTGAGGGATGCAATAGCTGCTTTAATTCAGGTCAGGCAGTTCAACACAATGTTCTGTTTACTACAGAAATGAAACAAAACCTCTGGATATTACAGCAGTTGAGTACAAAATTGCTGAACACTCAAACTCCTCCAGATCCAATCATAACAAAACCAAACCACCATCACAACTTCAGCCTTTGGTCCTCTTTTCTCCCCACGGCCTTCCTGACACAGCAGCTGTCACTTCACACATGCTGCTCCCAGACTTCCTCCATCCATCCAGAGGCTGCTCCACCTGCAGGTTAACATACCCAGATCGAGCCTGGATGCTGCAGAGAAGCAAAGGCTCATTGGGAAGAACTTCAGCATCAACCTTGGATTACAACCATTCCTATTAAAAAATGACGATTAGAAATAGTGTTTCTCAGGTAGCAGAGTAAACTGAAAGTATCCCAACATCCCTTTCCCACAAACAGGAACGAGTTGGTATCATCCTTAACTTGCACATTCCAAAGCTGCTGAGAAATGTGGCTGCTAACAAAATCTCTTGAAATTCAGCATATGTGCTGCTTCTGTTGGCTCTAAATGGGTACGACACCAAAACACAACGGCCCTGCAACAGTCACGTCTGCAGGTCACGGCAGCCTGCGGGTCCCATGCTAGTCACTAAGCTCCAGGTCATACTCAGGGTACAGCTGCTTTGTAGTAACTCCTCGGATAACAGCTAGAAAAGAAAGAAATTCCATTGCTTTCATTAAGAAGACAGCAAATAAGTCAGAAAAGATTTGTGTTTTCTTCCTAGTAAACTCTCAGTATCCCACAGAAGCACCCACAGCTAAGGAACCAAGAATTTCCAGCTGTGCCCCCTTCCCCACCACTTTGTTTTGTTAAGGAAGCCTAATACTGAAACAAGCTCTGCCTTCGTGGCATCAGTGTCTCTTTATATATCAAGATTTACTTCACCAAGATCTTCAATAGCCTTCCACTCCTTACCCAGTTTGCCTAGCAGCATCTGTCCAGCATCTTTAATTTCATTATACTCATGGAGCAGGGAGATGTGCTTCTCCAGTTCCTCCACGCTGTACCCTCTGTAACAAAGCCACAAAACAAAACCACTGCCAAACAAAGGATAGCTGAGGTATGCAGACCCCGCCTGGTAAAACCCCTCTGTTTAGAACAACGACTTTTAGGTTGGATATTAGGAAAAATGCCTTCTCAGAGCCGTGAGGCATTGCACAGCCCAGGGAGTGCTGGAGCCCCTATCAGTGCAGATGTTCTGGGGCCGTGGCAGGCAGGGATGTGTCAGTGGCACAGCAGGGTCGGGATGGAAGAGCTTTTTTCCAGCCTTCACGTCCCTAGGATTAACGCCCCTCTGCATTAGAATCAAGCTCGCATTGCCCCACACAGAGCAGGGGAAACGCTCATCCAGGCCCGGGCTGGGCAGCGGTGCAATCCACGGCCTGAGATCCCACCTGTATCAGCAGCTCTGCTGGCACAACGTGCGCTGACATCAGCTAAAAAATACCCCCATTCATTCCCAATTTACACATCGTTACCGCAGCACGTGAGGTCAGAGCCTTCCCAACCAAGCCCTAGGAAAAACAACCGGGAAGGAGCTCCGTGCTGCAGCTCACGGGCCCCGTAACCCAAAGCACGGCCGCAGTACGGCGCAGCCAGCCGGGCCGTAACGGAGCCCCGCGGGCCGTACTCGGACAGCAGCTGCGCGATCTCCCGGTCCAGAGCGCGGTCCTTTTCCTTCAGAGCTTCGATGTCATCGCACGGCGCTTCTCCGTCCGCTCTGTGCGACGGTGCGGCCGGGAGCTGCGGGAACAGAATGCGTCCGGCGGCCGCTAACGGCACCGCGAGCCGCCGGGTGAACGGGGAGGGAGAGCGGCTTACCGGAGGTCTGAAACCAGCACCGCCGCTCCGCCGGGAGCCGCCGAGAGACCTGAAACAGCGCGGGGAGCCCCGCGTCAGCGCAAGACGGCGTCAGCGGGGCGCTGCGGGACGGCGCGAACCGAACCGAACCGAACCTCTCCTACCTCCGCTGCGCCGGCGGCGCCACGCGCCCCGAGGGGGAACTGCGCTGCTCCGCCAGGACCGCCGCGTCCCACACGCACCGCCGGCACGGCGCGGGGCACGCCGGGAACCGGATGTCGGCACCGCGGGGCACGCTGGGAGTTGTAGTCCCGGGCCCGGCCGTGCCCTCTCGGCGCCGGGGAACGCATTGCCGTGCCGGGGGCGCGCCGAGGTGGGGAGCGGCGCGGCGCGTGTGGCGGCGGGACGAGCCGGGCCGAGCGCTGCCTTCGGCGCCCGGGCGGGACCATGCTACGCCGGGAGCGCGGGGCGGAGTGGGGCAGCGCGAGCCGCGCGCTCGGGGGGCGGAGCGACCCGGCGCCGCGTCCGCGGGCCCGCAACCACGTAGCCGTCCGCCGTGGGCGGGCCCCGAGCCGGGAAGTGGGGCGGATCCGGCCGCCATTCGCGCCCCGCAGCGGGGGAGGCGGGCCGGGCGGAGAGCGGAGCGGGGCGGAGGAACGCGGCCGCCCCCGGGCCCCGGGGTGGGGCGGGCGCTCGGGGCGGAGCCTGGCTGCCCAGCGCACCGCGCCGATCGGCGGCTGACGTGGCCCGGGCGCGGGGCGGACATGGCGGACGGCAGCAGGCAGAGCAAGCTGGCGGCGGCCAAGAAGAAGGTGAGGGCGGAGGGCCGTGCGGGAGCGGCGCTGGAGGCCCGGAGCGGTGCGGAGAGGCTCGGCTCAGCCCGGCCCGGCCCGGCCCGGTCCCGCAGCGCTCCGCGGCGCCCGGCGGTGGGGGCGGCCCGTGGGGGCCGGGCCTGCGCTGCTGCGCCTCCTGCGTTCCGTGTCTGCCGCTCCCTTTCCCTTTTGGGTTTCTTTTCCATATCTCTGTTTTCCCTTCTTTTTTCTTCTCATTTCTTTTCCCCTTTCTGTTCCCTTTTTTCCTTCTCGCGGGGCAGCTCGGCCCTCTCCGTCCCGGCGCGATGCACTCCTGTGTCAAAGTCAAACGAATGGGAAAGTGCCCTGGAGCAGCTCGGGCTTCCATTTTGAAATCCTCCCGAGGATCCTTTTGGTTCCGGTGCTTTTCACCTTGACGTGGAAGCGCAGCCCTGCCTCCATGGCTGCCCTTGGGGCCGCAGGAACCTCCGGAGCATCGGAACCCCGGGCTGCTCAGAGCCTGGCCAAAACTGCCTTTAAATCGGCATCCGTCGCAGATTGCTGCTCCCCGCGGCCCGCAGTGGCGGCAGCGCCGGTCTCAGTGCGTTATCTGGAAGGTTGTTCTCCTTCTTCAGTCCTTTCAATGTTCTTGTTACATCTTATTACCAGATGCGGCTTTTCCAGTTTGCATTGCGTGTTATTATCCTTTATTCCTTATTGCTGTTAGTTACAGACTTACAAGTATTTCTTCTTGCAGTATCGTGTTGTTTCCAAGGCACTTGCTCAGTTGGATGCTGAAGTTGGACACTGGCAGCCCTGCCTCTTGTCGCAGACCCAGCACTCTCATTCTCACTTTCAGAGCCCCTGAACTATTTTTGATACATATACATTTTCTTTTCCTAGAGAAGGAGCTCTTTAAGGACAGTTTCTCTTGTCCTTACAGCTCAGCTGACTTCTTACCCAGTGTTCTGCTGTCATTTTGTTGTTGATGTTATATTCACAGAAGACATATTCTGTTTGGACTTGAGGTTATTCTTTTTCTTTCCCCACAGCTGAAGGAATATCAGCAGAAGAACAGCCCTGGAGCGACTGCGGGAGCCAAGAAAAAACGAAAAACTAAAGAAGGAAGTAGACCTGAGACTCCCACAAACGATGACCAACAGTCTCCAGAGAACGTGAGCGTTCCCCTCTTTCTCCCTCTGCCTCGTGCTTTGGTTTCCAAACAGCACAACTGGGACTGGAAGAGTTATGCAGTGTAACGTGAGCGGCTGAGTTGCCTTTGTTAGCAGTTTGTGAGTCAGGGTGTGTGCTGGAGCAGCGCTGGAGCGTTCAGAGCTGTAAGGCAACCCTGGATGCACCCAGAGCTGCCGTTCAGAGATGGGAGCTCCTCGGGAGCAGCACGATGCTGGTTTCTTTGGCTGCCTTTGATGGACGTTTTTCTCTCTGTCCTTTTCTGAGCCGTTTCTCTTTTCCACTTCTCTTTCGCCTCCTTTAGATTCAGAACATTCTGAAGGTGCTGGTGTCAGACCTTAACCGCTCCAATGGGGTAGCCATACCCTCATTGGACAAAAGGAAGGTGAGGCAGTGCTCCGTGTCCCTCCCAGTGACTCGCTGTCCCCTCTGCATGCTCAGCTTCTGTTTACACTGACCTTGATTTCGGATGGAGCCTTGTTCTGGCATGCCTGCTGTGTTTTGTGGCTGTTTTTATTAACACGGGGCTGTTTGTTAACATGTGTTTCCATCACTTGTAAGTGCTTGTTTCCTCCTGTTTTCTGTCTAAAAATGCAAAAAAGTTAACCGTGTCCAATGCGCATCCTTCAGACAGCTGAGCTGGAAGGAAAAGCAGAACAGAGTTTGGGGTGAAGCAGCAAACCAAGTTAACTGCTGAGAGATGCTGCGCTAGGGAGGAGTAGTGCCTTATTAATTTGTATTTCTCCTGGTCTGTGTTGTTGTTTTATTTACTTCAGTGCTGTGCTTCTGAAGGGCAAGTTTCTGCTTGAAGTGCCTGAGCCCTGAGCAAACGGTGTAGTTATTCCAGCCACCCATTTATGACAGGTGATGAAACTTGCACAGGCGATGTACAGTCTGGCAGGTACCACAGTTTTAAATATGTCTAGGCAGGAAGTCAAGTATTTCGAGTACAGCATTTACTGGCTTGAGTGTCTTCCCTCACTCCTGGAGAAGGAAGGGCAGGAAGAAGTCCACTGAGCAATGGAATGTGTGCAGGTGTAACTGGATCCTGTAGGCTGTGTGCCATCGCAGAGCTTAAGTGACAGGAGGACCTCCTGGGAGCTCCTTGTTATTGTGTGCATATTTATTATATTTACATACCACCTTTATTTTATTATTTACTTACTTTAAAACTGTTTATTGTGGAGGCAGAAGGAAGGCATTCTTCTGGTTGTGTTGCTGCATCTTGAAGTGTTAATCGAAAAGCATGTTCCAATCAGAACAAATTAAGGACGTGTTTTTGAGAGTTCTGGGCAGAAATCCACGTGATATTCAACATTTATGATAGCCTGAACAAACAGAGGTGAAGCAACCTGTACCTGAAATTAGCAAGGGAATTCCTGGCTTTCCTTGAAGCCCCTAAAACATGTGGCTCCTTGAGAGCACGCTGTCTGTCCTCCAGAAAAATGATGGAGGCAGTTCCATTTGTTCCCCTCTGCAGTTTTCCAGCTCATTACTCTCATTAAATCTGTCTTCACTACTGCTGTAACCCCGTGGCTGCTTGATTCATGAATGAAGCGCTGAGCAGGTAAATAGGGAATGCCCAGAGTTCTTGTTTCGTGCAGACTGCCAAGAACGAAGCGACTGAAATAAAAAGGAGCTCTTTCAGATGGGTTTGCAGAGAACTGCAGTGCATTGGTGGGGCTGGCTGCCGAAGGACTATTGTTTGCAGTGTCATTAAATGATGGTTTATCAGAGCTGAAGTAAAACTACTTGCCATAAACCAACACAACTGTGCTCTGGGTTTTGTGGCTGGCTGCGTGGCTGGACAGGATGGATGGAATTGTCCATTTTGCTGTGGCTCGGTGGAGGTGCTGTCAGCTGTTTTTATCCTCCCACGAATGCTGGATGAGAGCCTTCATCACTGTCCAGGAATAGTTTTTAGGCCCTTTTCTATTTAGATTCTTGTAGCTGTGGGATTCCTGCTTTACGAGGGCTGTGGGCACCTGTTCCCAGCCGGGCTCATTTTGGCCTGTTCCCAAATGTCCTGTTTCTAAACGTCTGGTTCACAGCTTGCTGTTTGAGTTTGACTAACCTGGTTGTCAAGCAGTCATTTGCCTGTTCTCCCCCACCTTAATCTGCACCCAGTGATCAGTGTTTTCCCCAGAGACACGTGAAGGGCAGTGCTGTACACAGCAGTGCTGCCATCTGGCTTTGCCCACTGCTCACTTTTTGACAAATCCTTTGCAGGAAATCCAGCATGTGAGCTTGGAGTAGGGAGATACTGTCAGCCCTCATTAGAGAAGTGGTTGTGGTGATGGGGCAGTTCTTCAGACTGGATCTAGCAGGACGGAGGGCTGGGATGACTTTTGGTTGTGGGTTGATGCCGTTTGCTCTGGGGAGGACATAGATTCACTTCCATGTGTTTCTACATGACTTTGTTCACATCTGTTTCTCACAGGCCTGTAGCAGGGTGATGTGTCCATGTGTGTTTCCTTCATTCTGCACGTAGGCTGTAATTCCTGTGGTGTGTTTTGTGACAGGCATACTTTGACAGTGATGTTGCCACTCGTAATGCTGACCAGCTTGCTGCCGATGTCCCTGTGCTATCTAACAGCAACAGCCTGCCTACCTGTGCTTCTGTCCTGCCTGCTCCTGGAGGCATGCAGCTGACACAGGTTTGTGAGTCACCATCAATATCTCCACGCTGGTTAGCCATCCTTTTCTGAGAAAGACAATCCCCATAACTAGCTCACGTTGTCTCCTGTTAAATATACTAGGTTCTCCACTCTCCTGATCATCATCATCTGTCTGTGAGTGGAGGGCACTAGCATGCACACATCCCTGCTGCTTCCAAAGCTGCAGTTCTCCTCCCCTTCTCTTCTATTTAATTAGCAGAAAACACTCTTAATAATACAGAAGATCTCCAGCTAGCTGGAGCAATCTGCATTTCCTTTCACTGCATAAAGATTCCGTTGAAGTTTTTCCAGCAAAGCACAGCTGATTATTCTGATAAATGGTAACAGCAAATACAACACCAGTAACACTTAAGCCTCTTAATCCCAGGAAGGCTAGGCACTCAGTGCTCAGAAATTATGGGCAAGCTGGAAAATGAGCAGGTTTTCTGAAGTTGATCTTTCTTTGGGAAGCAGTAATTACAGGTGCTGTGGAACCTGAGCCCGGATGCAGTCGGGTCTTAGGGACACATTCACAAACATGATTCTCAGCTTTTCTTACAGCCTTGTAAACTTTGTTTTAATCCACAGATTCGTGAAGCTGAGGATCGTAAAAACACTTTGGATGAGAACAGGTGAGTGTTTGTGTTTGCAGCAGGATCACAAAGTGTCCAACAGATAAAGGTTTTACTACTCCCACTGCTGTACTGATCAGAACAGTTCTCTGGGAGGAATGTTCACCATGAGGCCTTTCTCTGTCCCCAGGTCTCTGTCATCAACAGAAAGTCTCCGCCAGCTGTCTGAACAACTCAATGGCCTGGTTTCTCAGGTACAGCCTCATTTTGGTGCATCTGTCCCAGTAATTTTTTGGTGTCTGGTGCAAATCTTTAAGCAGCCAGCTTAAGAAAACACTCTTCAGTGTCAGAGATGTCTGCAGTCGTCCTACTGAACAATGAGATATTGAAGCATTGAGATGCTAAACTTCCAATTTTAGGAATGTTAAAATTTCAGCAGTAGGAAGAGGAGCAGAGTGGGTGAATGAACAGCATGTATTCATGGAAAGATTAGTCTTGATTTAGTGGCAAAGAGCCTGAAGTCAATCTGCCTAATTCGTATCAGCTTGCCACAGGGCCAGTCTGCATCTATCCTTAGCTAGGAAAGTGTTTTTGCTGTGGCTGTCTGGGGTGCTTGGAAGGGAAATGTGCCATAAGAAATATTATGATAGTCAGTTCTTACTTGATAGTGTTTTATTGCCTGGGGGAATAAAACTGACTGACTTGGACTATTTTTCTTCTAGTCTACGTCGTATGTGAATGGGGAAAGTGGTGTTTCCTCCACTAATATTAAGGAAATGGAAGTAAGTTGTCTTGAGCTTATGATTTTCTTATTTCCTAGTCTAAGCCAATTGTTGGGACAGTGCTGATGAGACCTGACTGAACACACAGTTCACAGACCTCGTTGTTCAGTGTTGCCTTCTGCTGTACTCAGGTAGTTGTGGTCAGCAGGAGTATCCAAGATACCTGAGGGACTTCTGGGGGGCTTGGGATCATTTGGCCTCAGTGCAGCTCTTAGTATTGATTCACTTTTATGTCAAAAAATGCCTTAGCAGAAAGTGCAAGTTAACGTCCTAGCTGCTCTTGTTGGATCTGTAGATGTATTTGGGAAATCTGATTTTATCAAACTGTGATAATGATTTGTTTTTCTGTCCTTTTTAATTATTGCTTTTTTCCTCCCCTCCTCCTTTTCTGCCCCTTCCTTCTTCTCCTGCCTGCATGTGCCCATCAGACACGTTACCAGGAGCTGGCAGTAGCCCTAGATTCCAGCAATCTAACTAACAAACAGCTCATTACAAAGATAGAGGAATTGGTAAGAAACAATCCAACCAACCAGTTTGATGTTGTCTCTGCTGCTCCTCCATGCTCTCTGGGTGTCTGCAAGGTTATGGGTTCTCTTATAGCACCACAAGGAAGGCTGCTTTCACAGCACTTTGAGTGGAACAAAATGGGCAGTATGGGAGACCTGTTAGGAAGATCAAAGTCTCGGGCCACTTGTGGATGCATCAGCTCATCTGAGAACAAGAAGCACAGTTCTGCTGTTTCTTCTTAAATTTATTCTGTTGCTTTCATCGTGTTTTATATTGCTGGGCCTGGCCTGAATCCCTGAAATACAGAATTCTAGTGCTGGCAGCAGTGTGAAAACCTATTTCTGCAGGTGGTGATGCTGTTCTAAATATATTAGCAGAGTGGGAGCAATAGGTCTAAAGAGAGCCTGGGGCTGGTTTCTGATCATATCCTCAGCTTCTCTTGGCACTATGAATGAACTGCTTTGTCCTTTGCCTTGCATGGATTCCTGCTGCTGCTTTTCAGCCTTCAGCTTTAACACTGCAAGAAATGTAGCTAAGTGGACTTGTTTTGGTCTGAAAAGAGCCTTTCTTGGTTTGAAATCCTTTTCCCCATTTTGTTCCTCTCACACCACTCTTTTTTCCAAAGTCCACCATTTCCCAGTGCACCCCACAACCCCTCCTGTGTTATTTTTGGTTTTGAGTTCTTTTGGTTCCATTCTGTTTCTGGTTGTCTTTCAGCTGGGATGCAGGGGTGGCTGGTAGTGAGGGCAGTGCTTTGTTTGCCTGCTTTCTGACAGGCACATGAAACACACTCTGGAATTACACAGGCCCTTTGCTGCATTTGCAGTCTTGTTTTCTTTGTTCTGGTTGTGTTCTGTGTTGGTGTTCTTAGACTCAAAACCTCAAATTCATCAGCTTCCCAGCTGCAGTCGTGTTTCAAAGTGAGCTTGAAACTGAACTAGTAAGAATGGGCTAATGTCTGTCCTTTGGAAAGGGGAAACACACCATGCACGTAGCTTAGATGTGAGCAACTGCCACAAGGACAACAGCAGCAAGTAGCAAATGCTCCACTGCACCCACATCTTCACAGTGTTTGCCTGGCAGCCTGGTGGACAGCTGACAGTTCTGTTCTCTTTCTGCCCACGTCTAAAGATGCACTGTGTGCAGTCACTGCTTTCAAACACTTCACCCACAAGACAGAAATTGACCAGGACAGGATGGTGCCCTTTCTCTGCATTTGGCTTCAGCTCTTTCATACCAGCTTTTTGCAGCAGCCTGCCAGCATAAGGGAACTTCTGCATGATTTAAAGGCTGGTTGCCACATGGGATAAAAGTTGAAGGTCTCAGCTGAAGCACAACACCATGCTGTGGTTTTGGGTTTTTTCAATGCATTTTTGGTCATTATCCTGATGCATCAGGGTTATGATTAATGTCACAGATGGGGGGTGAAAGCGTAACTGAGGTTGGTGGATGCTCAGATGCATACAGTGCTTTTGTAGTGGTGTTTGTGAATAATGTACTGAGCAATGAAAAACGTGCATGGCATCTTCATGAAGGAAGCCCCAAATCTATTATTTTAATAGGTAAGATGATCTTAGTCTTCTACATAAAAAGATAACAGGAACTGTTTGCATTAATTGGGCACGTATCCTACTTCAGTTAAGTGAAAACGTGCTTCAGCAGCACGAGAATGTTTCCTTCTAATACTGATGCATCCGTTTTCTCCTGTAGAAGCAGCAGAACCAAGAAGCAGTGAATCAGCTGGAGAAGGTAAAGTATCCTATTTTTGGGCAGAGATAGAAATAGATATGTTCTTCTGAAGAGGAGAAAGCATAGCGGACTGTGGCACCAGCCTATGTGAGCTTGTCTTACAGAGCTGTGGGATCACTTAGGTTGGGAAAAACTGTTAAAATCATCAAGTCAGTCCTCCCATCTGCTCAGCACCACCAAGCCCTCCACTAAACAATGCCTTTAAGCACCACATCCACACATCTCCTGAATTGCTCCGGGGTGGTGACTCCATCACCTGGAGATCATCCTGGAGTCCGTTCTGTTTGTAGCATAGGGTTGAGTGTTGTGACTTCACAGGGTAGGCCTGGCAGATAGCTTGCTTGTTTTGATGAGAGCTAAGATTTAAATGCTCAAGTATTGGAAGGCTGCAGTGGAAGCAAGAGATTAGAGTTTATGGCCTTGTCAGTAGTTTGCATTCCAAACACGGCCAGCATAAGGAACCTACTGTTGCCATTCTAGGATGGATAACCAATAAAGTAGTTTAAGAAATGGAAGACTGAAGCGTGGCTTTTAAAAATGATGATACCGGTTGGATGCTGGAAGTACCACCAATGAATCACTGCTTTTTTTGATGTAGAACAAGGGGGGTTTACAATTTTGTGCTGAACAGGCATCATTTGTTTATACAGGAAAAGAAGGAGTTTGAACAGAAATTTTCTAAAGAGCAAGCAGCCCTGAGAGAACAGCTCCAGGTAAGGCAGAGCTTTCACTACAGTAATATGACCTGGCTGCTGTTCTTTTCTGGATTACTGAGCACTCTGTTTTATCTTGGAAGCCAACATCCTTTCAGGAGAACTAGGAGAGCCAGCTCGCTAGATTGTACTTACATGCAAGAGCTCTTTGTCACTGAATTGTCCCTTTGTGGCAGCAGGGATGTTGTGGTTGCGAGCAAAGATTCCCTGCACTGAGCTCCTTTTTCTTTCTCCAAGGTTCACATCCAGACGATTGGAATCCTAGTTTCTGAGAAATCTGAGCTGCAGACAGCCCTTGGACATACTCAGCAAGCTGCGCGGCAGAAATCAGGTAATTGACTCGGAGCACTGCAGCTTGAGCTGGTGGTTAAACCATGGATTTCAAGTCAGAGGCAATGATGGCTGCTGGCTGCCAGCTCACAGCACTCCTTGGTTCCTTAATGAGAAATACTTGGCACCGTCACCGCTTCTGTCATCATAGCTGCCCCCAGATTGGAGCATGGTAATCCCATGGCAGTTGAGGTTCTTTTGTGCATCACTGAAGCCCTGTCAGCCCTGCTTGGGCCTGGTGACTACCCCAGACTGTTCTTTTCTCACTTTTCTTCAGATTCTTTTAAAACTCTGTTCCCTTTCATCACCCTTCCTCCCACTCAGCTGTCACATTAATGTAGGTTTTACTCAGGCCTTTCATTCTCAACTAAATTTGAACAATTTGCCCTCATAGGGGAAAAAAAAAAAAGAAAAGCAAACATAGTGCCTATAGCTCTGCAAAGGACATTTCATCATCTCCCTCTAAAACTGAGAAAGGTAGTTGCTGACAGAGAGCTTTTCTGACTTGAAATCCATGGTTTAACCAGCCCAAGGTTGCTGGTGAATCACCCATACTGCCAGGAGTGGAAGCAGGTCTACCAATTCAGAGCTCTGTGCTGTTTTAAGAGCTTGTTGATAAAGCAGAAAGTGCTGTTTAGCCTGTTCCAATAATCCCTTTGTGGTTCAGTCTCAACTGACTCTGCTCTGCCTCGCTTAGGAGAAGCTGAAGACCTTGCTGCTCGTTTACAGTCATCTCGCCAGAGGGTATCAGAGCTGGAACGCACCTTGTCCTCCATCTCTATGCAGCAAAAACAGTCAGAGAAGGTAAGAACCGCCTCTCATTATGCTTAATTAGCAGCTCTGCTTTTGGCTCGTTGCTTGTCACTACACTACTATGAAGTCTGTAGTCCCTGTTTAGAGAAGAAGCTGAAATTAACCTTGTTAATTGTTAATTAACCTTGTAAAGCCCTGTATTCTCATCAAGGCCAAGCTTTCATTCAGATTTCTGTGACCACTAATCATGTGGCCCAGTGGCTGTCTTCACATCTGGCACCTTTTTTATGTCAGTCTTGCCAGCTCTACACAGCAGCATCTCTGAGGCCTCCTCCCAGGAGGGCCTCCATCCAACAGGCACTTTACCATTGATACCCATCCAGAAGTTTTGCAGAAATAACCTCACCATCAGTGAGTAGCATTGTGTTCAGAGAGACTGAGCAGATGAATTGCTGGCAAATCCATCCTTTGTGCAGTCTCACGGTGTAATGAGCTGCAGCACTAACCAGCCAACTGTAGTGATAGGTGAGGTTCTAAGCAAACCTGTGCTGGGGATTTTGCTCAAGTTATGAGCTCTTCTGCACTAACTAATCTGTTAAAGGTAAAATAAGATAATCTTTGAACACTTTATTTGTATGGCTGAAGTCTCTAACTGAATCAGATTTTTTTTTCTCCAGCACAATAAAGAGCTGGTGAAGGAACGAGACAACCTGAAACTAGAACTGTACAAACAGAGGTAAGCCTGTTTTGTATATTATTCCAGAGTTATGCTATTCTTCTCAATAGAGCCACAAAGCTTAGGAAGGGGCTTTGACCACGGTTGGTGAGCTGGGAGGCCAGATATTCAATGTAAAAATAATAATTTTAAAAGCCAAAAGATTAGGAAGGTAATACAGCAATGGAACACCGTGCCCAGGGGGGCTGTGGAGTGTCTGTGCTTGGAGCATTCACAACAGCTGCACAGGGCTGTGGGTAACAAGATCTGGTGGTAGCACAGTCCCACTTTGAGAGGGAGGTCAGACAAGATGTCCTGCAGAGGTTTCTTCCAGTCAACATTCCTATGACTCTCTGCTGTAAACTTAATGATGAGGGCATCTGCAAACACAGAATCACAGAACTGTAGGGGTTGGAAGGGACCTCCAGGGATCATCGAGTCCAACCCCCCTGCCCAAGCAGGTTCCCTGCTTTTGTACAGTGCTGCCACTTGGATTTGTTTGTTTGTTTCAGCAAAGGTAGTGAGGAAATAAAGCAGCAGAACTCAGAGCTGTCAGAGAAACTCCGCTCCCTGGTTTCTGAGAACTCAGCCATGAAGTTGGATGTGGAAGATTTACATAAGAAACTGGAAATGGCTGAACTGATGATTCAGCAGGTAATCACACTGCTGGGATATGGGAGCAGATCACACTGACCATTTTAAGACTTGTTTCCTGGACACTGGGGGCAGAAGTAAATTACTGATCTGAAAGGCAGGCACAACATCCCATCCTTCAGGAAAAGGTTTTCTGTGAGCTCCCTGAGGAGCAGGAAGGCTGTGCTCTTAAGGACTTGGAGGAGACTGAAAGACATTGTGATGTCAGTCTGCAAAGAATGTGACGTGGTATGAGAAGGTGACTGAACATTCAAGTGTGCAAATACAGTGACTTTTCTCTTTGCTGTTCACTGTTCTGGTTACCCAGCTGTGTCACTGAGAATCAAGTTGAGTAGAGGTGCTTGCACCTGTCCTACCCAGAGGTGAAATGGACAGTGGCAGCTTGAAGGGAGCCAGCTGTTGGAGGCAGGCTCAAGGTGAGCCCACAATGGAAGAAACTGCTCACAATTTTGTTTTCAGTCGGTGGCTCAGGTTACCCACAAAATAAAGCCAACTGCTACACTTCTAGGAAAAATATTTTGTCTTCCCTGTGCCTGCCTTGCTGTTTAGTCCACCAACGTGTTCCAGACCCTGGCTTTAAATTCCTGGCATGTCTGACAACCTTTAAGTTCACAAGTATTCATACCATCTGATCTGTCTCTGTACTACAGACTCTTGAAATGCAAAGTTTCTGAATGAAATGATTTGACTAAAGCCCATTTTCTTAATTAAAATTAGTAAACATAAAATGGAAGCAAGGGGCTGCCTAGTTCAGCTTGTTTTACAGGGCTAAAATCTAAGCTTTTTGATTTTAGATGCCACTTCTCTTTCAATCAACAACGAGTTGAAACATTTTAAAGAAGGATGGATGGCTATACCATGGGTCAAATGGCAGGCTAAAATCAGGGGACAGGCTAGACAGAAATGGAATATTAACATTTTGCCATAACCTTTTGATTTTTGTGGGCAGTTCTCAAGTCAGTCAGGGAATGTGGATGCAAACCAGCAGTTGCAGATGGCACTGGATGAGAGGGCGAGCCTGGAAACCCAGATTGCTCAGGTAGGTTATTAATCCATTAAGCACATCGATGATCCAAATCTGGAAAGAAATTTGTGTGCCAGAATACAACCTGTGCTTTCCCTTAAGTAGTCAGCCATCCTTTAATTGATCAGTTGGTACAATTTTCCTTGTTTTGTTTTTACCAGCTTTCAGAGTCGCTTCAGCAGCTCCAGGCAGAAAGAGATCAGTATGTAGAGAAACTGAAGGAAGAGGGGAGCATTTGGCAGCAGCGAGTCCAGCAGCTCTCTGAGCAGGTAACCTCACAGGCAGAGCCACAGCTGCTTCCAATGAACGCAGGTGTAACATTGCACCATGAGCACTGCTTTAACTTGAGCTTGTGTGGCCCTGCAGGTCCGCGCAATGGCAGAGGAGAAGGAGAAGCATATGGCCCAAATTCAAGAGCTGGAAAGCAGTGTTACAGAGCTGCTGAGCAAATCAGGTAGGACTTCCGAAGTGGGGCTTCACACTGCAGAGCAGCAGCAGGTCAACTCTGTCCCCACTGTGCAAGTATCTGTGCATGTACAAGTAGGTCTGATGCTCTCAAATCATGAAGAGAGCTGAAAGACTGGTAGTTCTGTGAAACCTTTAATTCTAGCAGACAGCGAGTGAGCTACTTCCAGTGACTGACCAGCAAATGGTTTATGTCTTTAGTTACCTGTCTGGCTGTACTGTTAGGCCCATGAGGCTGGGCAGGCAGGATTCTTGCTGGGGCTGAGAGAAGGAGTCAGCAGCACGCAGCAGGACACTGTGTGGTTTCGGGGTCCTTTGCTCCTCTCAGTGCCCTGTTCCTCTGGATACTGCAGCTGGTGGTACTTTCTGGGTCACAGAGTCCTGCGGGTTGGGATATGTTCTGCACAGCTCCGTGTGCTTCCCGGGTGATTCAGCCCTCTGACTGATCTGCTTTTGATTCCATTTCTTCAGCAGTGAAACCCATGGATGTTGAGCCATCTTTACCAGCAGGACCTACAGCAGCTGAGCTGAGTCTGCAGGAAGAAATCCAGCGAATGCAGCACGAGAAGGAGGAACTGCATGGGCAATACCAGGCCCAGGTCCGTGACAACGAGCAGCTGAGCCACCTCAACAGGGAGCAGGAGGAGCGGCTGCTGGAGCTCGAGAAGACGGTGCAGCGCTACAATGAGGAGTCTGTGGACAGACAGCAGATCCTGGAGAGCATGCAGAGTGACAAGGCCACGATCAGCAGGGCACTGAGCCAAAACCGGGAGCTGAAGGAGCAGCTGGCTGAGCTGCAGAATGGATTTGTCAAATTGGTATGTCTCTTCTCATGAGTCTTTTCTCGCCATTTCTCACGTTGACGCAATCGTTTTGTAGCACAGATGTAAAAAAAGCTACTGTCAGAAGCATTGTCTGCCTTTTGTCCCTTGGGGTTATGAATGCTCAGCTTTCTGTGGTATGTATTGCCATACCAGGAAGTGCCCTCTAATTCCTTACTCTCTCAGGTGCTCTGGCAAACAAACCAGTATCTCTGCCCAGAGCTGTTTCCTTTTTCTTCTCCTCTGCTGGCAGTCAGGCTGTTTCTTTCCACTGAGTATTCTTCCAGCTTTGCTCATGAAGAAGAAATTCTCAACAGTCTTCTGTCCTCTTGCTGTCATTGTTTCTGTCCTGAAGTTGAATTCTTGCTCTTGCTTCTTTCAATGTAACAGTTTCCCCTTTGGGGTTATGGCATATAACACACGATCTGGTCACTGTTTTTTTCTTCAGATCTTTCTGAACTTGTCTTCTTGGTTTCGAATGTCTATTGCTTTATTTGGGATGTTCATGTCACCCATCTGCTTTGGGTCTGACAGGCTGTGTGATGTGCCAGGCCCCTTCTTGGCACTGTCCCAGCACTGATTTTCCCCCCCCCCCTTGCTCTTCTCCCATCTCCTCAGCCTTTTTTAAAGTTAATTACTGCCCTTATTTACAGCTCAGAACAACACAAAGGATGGCATCCCACTGCATCAGGAATTTAATTTATGAGAGCGTATACTTTTGGGGCAATTTCCTTCTACAGCGTTTTTGATTCTTGCAGACAAATGAAAACATGGAGGTTACAAGTGCCCTGCAGTCAGAGCAACACGTAAAGAAGGAGCTGGCTAAGAAGCTTGGGCAGCTGCAGGAGAACCTGGGGGAGCTCAAAGAGACGGTAAGCAACAGCAGTAGGATGGCAGGGCAGGTGTGCAGCAGTTCATGCAAAGGAGAGTTGGCAACTGATCAGACTTTGATGGAAAGATGGAAATTGGTGTTGGTAACGATCACGCTGGGAGCCCTCCCGTGTCATCTGCTGTCTGATGCGGGGGACCAGCATGTGGGGACAGATGGTGGCTGCCTGCCTCGTTGGTGGCTCTGGGGCAGCATTGGCGGTTTGGATCATGCCACATGAGCCATCGTCTTTTCTGGCAGAAATGATTTGATCTGATGGTTTTATCACGTTTTGTTAGCTGGAACTGAAAACGCAGGAGGCTCGGGCTCTGCAGGAGCAGCGGGACCAGTACTACGGCCACTTGCAGCAGTACACTGTGGCATACCAGCAACTGGCTGCTGAGAAGGAGGAGCTGCAAAAGCAGTACTTGCTTCAGACCCAGCTGATGGACAGGCTGCAGCACGAGGAAGTTCAGGGGAAGGTGACAGTGGAAATGCACCTGAAGGAACTGCAGCAGACCAAGGTAATAATGAAGAGGGGCAAGTGGAAAGACTAGAGGCAAAATGCTTAATTACATGACATCCTGTGCAAGAGAGGTGAATTAGAGACGAATGATAATTGTCTGGAGCAGAAGCACTGGTGGTTTTTGTTTGTATGTTTGTTTTTGTGGTGCTACTGATAGTTTGGCTTATGCAGGTTTTGGTGAGGGACCTTCTTACCGATATTCTGCTTCTTTCTTGCAGGAAAGTCTGGAAGCTGTAGCAAAGGAAAACAAAGAGCTGCAGGCCCAGATCAGTCAGTTAGCAGCAGAGCTGGATGGCAAGATGCTGCACAGACTAGAAGGTGCGTAACTTCAGCTGCTCTCCAGGGATGGGAGGTGCAGCTGGGCTCTCTGGGGTGTGATTTCTTTGTTCACCTCCCTTCCTTTACAGGGGATGGAATTGAAAGTGAAGTGATGTCTGAAGAAATGAAAAACCATTCGTTTGTGATCCCAGAGAAGTTTGAAAGCCATGAAGAAATGGTGGGTCTCAATGGGTAGAAAAGCCTTTGTTCTCAGTTGTGAACTGTTGTCTAGAAGAGGAGGCAGATTAAATTGCAGAGGTTCCACAGTGTGTATTAAGTTGTTTATCAGCTGTGATTCCTGCAGCTGAGGCACAGGGAAGTGTTACAGTCCCTTTTACAGCAGCAAAAGAACCAACAAGATTTCTACAGTATAGCTGAAAAACAAGCTGGAAGTCCAGCAATGGTTTTAATTACAAAGGCAGCTCAGCTGGCAGAATGGCTCTAACTATTGTGATGATTGATGTTCTCCTCACTTTGGAAGGCAATTTGGAGATGGTGTTGAACATGACTAATTCTTTCTGTAAGTGTAGTTGTAACCAGACAATACTGTGATCAAACAGTTATTGTGGGAATTCAGGTTTAACCTGCAGAGAAGAAATGATTACAAATCATTTCTTGAGAATGAGAAGACATGCAGCAGTTGCTGCCTGGGTTAGTCCTATGGGTTTCCTATCCATAAATAAAATGGGGTGAACTTCTGTTATTCTCTTTACCCTGAGAGGCACATTTGGTCACGCTTCACACAGGATAATCACTAACATGAGTCCTCTGAAATTCACCTTAGGTGACTTTCTTGACGTCTGCCATGTCCCAAGTGGAGAAGGATCGAGAAGAGATGAGGCAGCAGCTGGCTGCTCAGAGACAGCAGTGCAGAAACCTCCTGCAGCAAATAGCAGCTCTTCGGCAGGAGCAGCAGCATAACATCATGAGTGAAGGTAAATTTTGTGCAGTTTGGGTGTGGAGATGTGCCCCAACCTGGCCCTGGCCTCTGTGAAACAGACCTGTGGGCTTTGTGAATGAATCGTGCTTAAGCAGGTACTGTAAACTGCAAACGTCCTTTCCAGATTCCACTATGGACAGTGTTCCAGTGGAGGTTCATGAGGCTTTAAAAACTGCCATGGAGAAACTACAGGTAAGCAAAGGATCTCCTTTCTGCTCCTCTGCCTCACCTGGCTAGATGTGCACCCAGTGCCAGACTCCTGAAGCACACATACATTGCAGGGGAATAAGCAGCAGATGTTCCATGGTAAGCTTCTTCCTAAAAAGAGGCTTTCCTCACGACTTGTCTCATCATAGGAGAGCTTCCCCTACCCTGCCCAAACACTGTAAGGGTCTAACACTCATCCATGGTCTGTTCTTAGATAAACAGCTGAAAAACAGACTAACTTCACCCTGCTGGGATGAAGCAGAGCTCTCCAAGAACTGCAGACTAAGTGTGACCACATTTGTGCTGGTCCAGCAATGAGAAGGCACTTTGTTCCCACAGTCCTTCTGCTTCCCAAAATGCAGAGATGCTTTGCTGTGCCTTCTGTAGCTTTGTTCTTTTTACTATCAAATCAGAGCAGTTGTGAAGGCAGCACGACTTGTTCCCTAGGCTCAGGCGGATGTGAGAGGAGGGTTCTGTCTTCAACACGGCTGTTCCCATACGTGAGCAGCTGAGGTGACTCATACCAATTTTTGTGTTCAGTCCCGTTTCACAGATCTGATACAGGAGAAAGCTGATCTGAAGGAACGGCTGGAAGAGTTGGAACATCGCTGCATACAGCTGTCTGGGGAAACAGACACCATTGGTATGTTTGCACAGCACAAGCTAGAGCTCTTGGAGCTGAGTCTGCCACGTACCAAGCAGTTCAAGTCTTGCTACCTAGATAGGCTAGGCTTCCAGTCCAGGGCTGGCTGTGCTGGATCCTCATGCAGCACAAGTTAATGCTCACAGTCAGGCTTTTACATCAATCCCATTTATTCCTTATGCTTCTGTTGTGTTCCAGGGGAGTATATAGCACTATACCAGAGTCAAAGGGCTATCCTCAAACAGCGGCACCAGGAGAAAGAAGAGTACATCAGCAGGCTGGCTCAGGATAAAGAAGAGATGAAGGCAAGGAATCTCTTTTGTAGTCCTACAAACACAGTGTACTCTTGTAGGCAGGCCTGAGGGACTCCTGCACAGTGTAAACCTTATGTTGTTCTTCAGCTAGCTTTAATGTTGAAGTTGTAACGGTGGCAAAACAGCAAGCTGTAGCGCACTGTTTGTGGCCACGGGGATATGCATGCTTCTGAAGTTTCCTTTGCTGGTGCAGATGAAATTACTGGAACTGCAGGATTTAGTGATGCGTCTGGTCAAGGAAAGAAATGAGTGGTACAGCAAGTATGTAGAAGCTGCTCAAAACCCAGAGCTGTTAGCAAGCCAGAATGAAAACGCACTTCCAGTGGAGAGGCGCATTGAACTGAACGCTACTGATGGAGAAGGTAAGCTGGAGACAGGACAAGTTATATCAAGTGGAATAACCCAAGTCTCTGTGCATGGATGGGAGGAGTTACCTGCCTCCTGTGTCTTGTGTGCCTTACAGGGTTACGAGAAGTGAATTTAGCAGATGAAGCGGAGCAAGACGCTGCTGCTCTTCATCAACCCGGTTTCTACCCTATTGACACTAAAGCTGCTCAGCCAAGCCAAGAGGACCCTACAGCAAAGCAAATAATGCAGCTTCTCAGAGAAATCCAGAACCCTCAGGAGAGGTCGGGCTCCTTGCTGGAAAACCCCTGCATTCCGTTCTTCTACCGTGCTGATGAGAATGATGAGGTCAAAATCATGGTGGTTTAAGTAGCACCGATTCTTATTTACAGAGATTTTTCTGTGAGCCTGTAAGGACTAAACTGACTTGTATGTGCCCATACTGCTGCTCAGCACCCTTGGTCAGAACGGTGATCTGCTCTAAAAACAGCAGGAAAGAGGGACTGCATCACATGGAACTCAGCATCATTCCTTCTCTTCCCTCTGTTGCTTGGTGTGCTTGGAGCACAGGCTGAGTGGTGTTGGCTCTCCAGCTGGGCCTGGTGCACGTTGGGGGGAAGGGACTCTGTGACTTCTGGCAAATTCCTTGAGCCCTTGTCCTGTATCCCTGACCAGCACACAGCTTCACAGCAGTGACTGAGCAGCAGCCCTCGTCCATCAGTCACGACTGTAACCTGCCTACTTCCTTCTGAGGCTCCCAAAGCAACTAACTTAACTCTGGTAACAAACTCTTGGGATGGTTGGTTTTGTTTCACACCATGCATCTTAAAACTTCCCACTTTCTTCCTCTCGCAAACCAGCCTTGAACAGCCACAGGGTGCAGGCTTCTGGCTAGCTAGGCAGCACACACAGCTTCCTGCATTCAGCGCTAGGGGCCGGGGCTGAGGGCTGCCTTTGGAGTCTTTCTGGTTACTTGACAAAGCTTTATGTGAGTAGTGGAGGTGGAAATGTAACTGCACTTTGAAGGATGATGTGTTTCACTTGTGTGTGTCTGAAGGTTTTATTTATTTAAAAAAAAAAAAAAATGGGAGAAATAAGTAAAAGGAAACCACTTAATAAACATGCTTTGTTTTGAATTCCTGGACTCCAGGTTATCTATTGCTTAAATGTCATCTCCCATTTTGGTAAGAAATGTATTAAATGGGTGGAATCCAGCATCCTTTCTCCCCGCTTACGTTGCTGGCACACATCAGTACCAAACAAAGCCTTGAAGCTGAGCTCTTGGAGTAGCAGCAGTGCAGCTCCCTTAGGTGTACAGACTTCAGGTGAAGTGCACAGATACCTACACCTAAAGGCTCAGGCACAACCTGCCTCTATGAAATATGGTTACAGCCTCAGCACCAGAGCTCTGGGGAGAACTGCAGCGGCCCTGACTGCAGCAGCCATGCAATCCCACAGCACAGCCCTGGGCTCGTGGTGGGGGAAGCTGAGCTGCCAAGCAGAGAGGTGCAACCACACGAATGCAGCATCAATTCTTGTATTTGTCAACCACAACAAAGGAAAAAAAGAAGCCAAACCTAAAAAAAACAACCATTCTTTCTCAGTGTCCAGGTGGCTGAGCTTTAGCAATATGGTAGGAGGATTTTCTCTTTTAATGCCAAAAGTAGATCACGGCTTTTTTAAATGGTTCATTTTGTCCTTTTCCCCCCCCACCCCCCATGAAAAGAAAAGTGTGTATGGAACAATTCGTGCTTTCCTGTGAACCCACCAGAGGAATGTGGAAATTGGTTTCTTTTTGAACTCTTCATCTGAATGTCTCCAGTGCTGTCTGTGAATGGCACAACGTGAGCTGTGTACATACTGTATCTGTGTAAAATGCTGTATATTGCTGGAGGGAAGGCTGGCCTGCAGGCTGGAGCTGCTCATAATCTGTATCATAACTAAAAAGGCAGGGGCGTGACTTAAACAGATTATTATAAATGGAATAAATATTTATTGGGTGTTCTACTCTGAAGGAGACCATTGAAGCAGCTCTGCAGGCTGGTGCAGAGGTGACTTAGTGCTGTTACAAATATGCTTCCTGAATAAACTCATTCAGATGGGTGCTGGCAAGATGTGTTCTGTTCAGATCTCCTTGAAATCTGGCAAAAAACAAATTCTTCCCTATTCAAAACAAACAACAAACGGGCACAGCTCTACAAACTGCTGCCTTAGTTCTGCTGCCCTTTCCCCTTCGCTTTCATGAATGTTTCCTTGTAGCCAGAGCTCTGCCAGGCCTGAGATTTCTGTCCAGGCTTTCAGCTTCACCCATGAGCTCTGATTCCTTTTTATCCTTTTCACTCGAGATGTGTTTCCCTGACCCTACTTTCACTCAGAGTGAGCTCCATGCAGACACACAAGTGACAACTATTGCTCAGCTGACACTGCAGCTTTAAATTACAGCACCCAAACTGCCTCTGCCTCCAAATGCTGGAGGCCAGAAGCACTGCATGGACAGGGAGCAGCTGGAGGCAGGAAGTGTTTATGGGCTGCAGGTGGTTGGGGAGGCCCTCCTGCCTGGCTCAGGAGGTTCCCACTGTACACAACCAGCAGATAACACCTTTCTGTTGCACAGTGTAACTCTGTTTACCTGAACTGCAGTTTCAGCTGAAATGCAGCGTTCTTTAAGAACAAGCCTGTGTGTTACAGCAGGGCTGGGGAAGGAAGCAATAGGACAGAGTAGGGCAAGGACAGAAACAGCTGCAGCACAGAGGAACAGGAGTGCTGGAGATGTGGGCTGCTCCCCCCACCTCCCCCCAGCAGCCACCACACTTATTAGCTCTAGGGAGACACAGAGCTTACCCAAATCTCACCAGGGAGCTCCCCCCCGCACCATGGCAGCAGCAGGCAGGGCTGAGATGGGCAGCAGCACCGGCAGTGGGCTGCATTCACAGCCAGGCCCAAAGCACAGCTCCTGCCAGGGAAGCCACAGCTCTTTGCCCACTCACTGCGTCCCACAGCCAGGCCTATGCAAAAACAGCTGTAAGAACCAAGTGTGTGGTGTGCAGGACTCCCACCTTCTGTGTCGTCACCGACGCACCTCACTGCACCTCCCTTTACAGCAGAGAAGGGCTTTCATCTCTGCACCCGCCGAGCTGCCACCAACGCCTGGCTGCTGCTGCGCATCTGTGCCTCCATTCTGGTCATGCATGCAGAGCTTTCTAAGCTCTAAGGGACGAAAAGACTCAGTTATAATCAAACAGGTTGGAAATCACCCAGAGAAAGAGTAAGAGAAAGAGAGATGGTTTTATTCTAGTTGGAGAGTCCTTCATTATACAGAAACAATAGTTTATTTCATCCAAGTAACGAGAGTGACAGTAGATCACAGACTGCAGCACAGCTACCACCAGCACCGAGACACAGCTCTGGGGTAACACAGGAACCCAACTGCACACAGCAGAGAACTGAACAGTCGGCTCAAAAATTCAACACTGGGATTTGGCTCACTTCTCAGGATGTATATATATATATGTATAGCGATATTCTTTCCCTACTGAAGCGTTTCCTAATATCCACATGGAAGCACAAAACGGCTTTAAACACCTGGACATATATAGATTTTCCATCTTTATATATATATATTTATAGATATTTATAACAGTAAAGATATGTTTCTCATTACTACAATTTCAACTCCTCGAAGCAGCTGGGAATCAAAAACAGCTTTACTACAGTCACAGCTGATAGGTGTGTGTCACAAATACAAACAGAACAAACCAGGGGTGAGAGCTGAGTCCGAACACTCCCGGACAGAACAGCTAAGAGCAGGCAAAGAGTCTCGCAGGGAGCAGCACTACATGTCAAATGGTGGCTTGGGGCTCTCCGGGCGGGAGGGACTGGCCTTACCCGGCCGGCTGGAAACAAAACAGGAAAGGGGGAAAGGAAGGGAGAGGGGGAGAAGCAGTAAAACAATGGTTAAAATACAGAAAGGAATCGGCGTCGGAACAATAGAGGAGCCACAACAGAAACCGAAGACGCTACAAAAAGATAACCTGAATGCAAATCAGCTGCGACACGGGTGGCTCACTGCTGGTGGAGACACGACAGCCCAGATGCACAGGGTGGTATATTTTTAATGCTGAAGTCTTTTTTTTTTTTTTGGTCATATTTTTAATACACATAACATGAAGAGTAGAAATCAAGCCGTAGGGGGATGAGTTGTGATAAGCAACAGTTACAAGTTCCCCAAACACGTACCATACACATGCAAGAAAAGGCTACGGAAGAAGTCACCACAGTACCCAAAAAAACACAAAGATGTGCTTATTCATAGCAGAAATAGCTTCAATAGAACATCACGCAGCAAACTCCCTGAAAACATTGGGGTGTCCGTTTGCAGGGGGAGCAGCAGCAGCCATTCCCTCTCCCCGCTGGGTTGGGGCTGAGCCCAATGCGATGGAGCACAGCCTGACAGGAGCACGGCCGCACCGCAGCACCCCAGCTCTGCTGGGAGCTGAGCACCAGGTCTGAGTGCTCCCCATCAAGCTCCCCCTCCTCGCCTCCCTGCCTCGCTTTGATATAAGGTAGATTGCACTGTTCCCAACATGAGTTTTTGCACCTTGGAAGTCGAACTAATACACACAGGACATTTAATCTGTTCCTAAGAGCGTCACATTTTGACAGCGTTTTTGCTTCTAAGTCACGCTTGTATCTTCTTAACTACAAGGAATTCACTACAGCTCAGTCCTAGGTGGTGCTACAGCTAGGTGATGCAGGCAGGACACTGATCCAGGCCAGACAGGCAGATGAGAACAGGACAGACAGCCAACGTGCGGACTGAGGGATGTCCCTGTGGCTGATCTCTCCCAGGAGCCCGTGTTTCTGGGATCCGTGCCACCAAATGAAGGCTACACTACGCTCACAAAGCAATACAGGACGCACGGGTGGAGACGAAGAGCTCAATCACTAGGCTAGTGCTGTACCACACACTGGGAAGGGATGGAGGGAAGCAGGTGTGGGATGGATGAGGAGTGACTGTGGCTGTGGAAGGGAGGTGGGATGGGAAGCCGCCAGCACGGCGCTCGTCGCCAGCTGTCTGCAGCCTCGAGTTATAAATCTAAGAGGGACGGTTCAGCCGGTCGGATTATGGTAGGTCGAGTAGGTGAGGCAGGGCCCCTTCTGCTGTGAAAAAGCAGAGAACAAAAAACAAGAGAACACACACTGTGGTTAGCACAGCAATCGCAGTCACAATCACGCATGCTTCTCCACCTCGCCTGAGCCAGCAAGAGAAAGAAAACCGAGGCACAAAGCACCAGAAGAGCACAGTTCTATCAGGAGGTGTTGTCAGTTTGCTCGGGGCCCAACCCTGGGCTTTCTGCACAGCATGGATCACCACCAGGCAATCTGCTGGATGTACAGCTTTGCTGTATTTGTTCATCAAATGCAGACTCAGTGCCAGCGGGGGGTGCTGCCTCTGGAATGAGAGTTGAGAAGCATGGCCAACAGAGAGCTTCTGTACCAAGCACATGACATCACACAGCATGGATGGGCCCGAGATGCACTGCTGCAGGGCTGGCTGGGAGGAGCAGCATCCCCTGGGGCTAGGAGAGCCTGAGTCCCTCCTGGCATACAGGGCACTGAGCTGCTCTCAAATGCAACTGCTGCTGACTGCATAAAGGCTTTAGCCACTGCTATTGTTTCAGCTAATCGCTGATACTTTAGTTAGGTCTAAGGGCAGCAATTTAATCACAGAGAGGACAAGTTCATGTTCAGTGATCTCCATCGTGTAAGGGACTGGGGGGGACAGCAGGGAGCAGCACAAAGTACAAGACAACCCCTCTGCTGTCACCCTCTACTTCAGTGCTCCCTGCAGTGTCAGCGTGGCAATGATGTAACGATGATAATTAAATTGCTCAATACCAACCCAGAGTGGTTTTACAATCCAAGCTGCCTGGAATGCAGAGTGCAAACCAAACAGGATGGGGGTAAATAAAGAGGAAGCATCTGCACTGATCAAACAGAACCAGGTGTCACTAAATTAATGCCTGAACACTTCCACGCTGACAAGCTTTAATTTAGATTACAGGGAATCAATTGAGTGCTGGAAATGATGATGCTCAGAGGGAGGGTGGGAGAAAGGCAGAGGAGATCTGCAGTGCTATGCTGATGTAATGGGGAAGAGCTTTGCACTGGCAGCAAACCTGTAATCACACTGGTACCAGAAGAGCCACTGTCCTATGAACTGGGGCACACTGCCTCACCTCAGAGAATGAATCAGAGCAACGCTCTGGCCCTGCTTATTAAACCTCAGCAGTTTATTGCTCTATATGGATTCAGCCCAGATCTCTAAACAACTAAAACCTCTTGTTCCTTGCCTAGGGCAATGATACCTCGGAAAAAAACAGAAAACAAACCTTCAGACAGTAAAGCATTTGGAAATATTTCCCTGATGGAGAATGTCAGTGGGAACCGCAAGACCACGTCATCAGCGTGGCACCTGAGTTACTTTTCATGTAGAGCAAATCTGGAAACTATGGGAATCTCAGGTGGGTGCTGAAATACTCATCTCTTAGAAGGAAAACTTGCAGTGAGTTACAGCTGGGAAATCTGTGACCACGGCCTTCATGGCACACAGGATTCGTACACCACCTCCAGAGGTGCTCACAGTTGGCATGGCCACATCTACACCACCTGGTGGCTCACACTCTGATGGGAATGGCAGACTGTTGAATTTGACACCTTACAGAACTGGGCTCAGGTTTTGGCAAGATGCTGCTGTGCTGCCCTGCATCTCACAAGGCACTTTTTGAAATGCTTGCAGGGCATTTTTCACACAAGGAGTTTGGTCTGGTTGTCCTGACCTCTGTGGGTTCACTCAAAAAAGGATCCTTGAAGCTGGCAAGGGAAGCCACCAGACCCTACCATAGTAAACAGGGCTGAAAGGAGCATCAGCATTACTCAGGTAGACACACCACCTTCTATGATTCTATCTGCCCTGTAAGGTTAGAGAGGTTGAGAACTATTTCCTAGGACAAAAAAGTTCTCTCTCTGTAACCGTCTACCCCTGCAATGCTCTTTCAGACTGTCTCTTCATTGCTAGTCAAGCCCTCTTACAACTGAAAAGCC